CATATTGATAGTATCTTTAAACAAATACGTTGAAGTTGGTAAAATAAAGTAAAAAAATCACTAAGGCCATGTGTACTTCAGATTAGTTTACCAGTTACGTCAGTGTAGTTGTGTATTTGATTCTGTTGTCTCGATTTCCTTCCAACGTGATATAAACGAAGCTGAGGAAAGATCTTTCTCTAACACAGTAAGAACATCTGCAAACTTGGAGAATTACAATGGTGTAACTCCATTGGTTAACACACTCCAGATACAGGTTTCATAGGACTGTAAACCTTTAAGGCAAAGGTGGAATTAAAAAATGCCTTTGCCACAGAATATAAATTCCTTTGTTGAGTAAAATGAATCTCCTAGTACAAGCTTGTTCAAAACTTTTAAAAGGGCAATCTTACTCCAGCAGACCCTTGGGTATTGAACGTAGGTACTGTTATACTACAGACCTCTTCTTGTTACCTCAGAACAACTGTATCAGACTGCCAACATCCTTCCCACAGCTGTGCTCCAAGAGCAGGGCCTCTGGCTACCCTCCTTTCTGAACTGGTTCAAGCAATGTACTTTCTCTTTCATTTGGACTACTGTTATGTTGGGGAAGTCACTGTCACCTCTGCATGCAACAGCCCCAGCACCCATGTTGAGAGACAACTCAGCACCATCACTGAGCCGTGACTGACTCACAACCCACCACAAACGATATGCTGAGTGTTCATAAACTTCAGGCTTTGTCCACCCTAATCCTAACCAGGCCAGGGAGGAAGTACCAGGAAGAAAGCACCTATGCAAAGTCCTTTTGAGAAACGTAAGAAATGATGTGAGCCACCGTGCCATCTCTGCACACATTTCTGCTGGAACAGCATTCAGGCTCTGCAGTGGCTTACGAGGGGGCCCAGGCACTAGCAGGCACTCCGACCCTGGGAGGCTGACCAGCTAAGTGTCACAGCTGGGCCCTCCGTCACCTCCCCAGGAATGGTCTCAGGCAGGGAGATGAGCTCTGGTGTCATCTGCCTTTCAGGTTGTTACAACTTTTTTTTGCAAGCTCCTACCTCTCTGAGATGTCAGCAAAGTAGCACCCTGATCTGCACAAAGCAAAATCAGCTGCTTTATTCTGAAGTTTAAGCTGTTGGTTGAAACAGAGTAATTTCTTGCCACATTTATACATCAAAAATGTTAAAACAATGCAGTTTTCTTTTTGCTGGTCAGAAAGAAGATAATAGGGGAAATTAGGAAAAAAGGGTTCTAAACCTGCACTTCTCAAGAAATTACACCTATGATTTATTTATTGATTAATGCTCCCATTTTTGATAATTTTCAGCAAGAAGCTCTCAGGAGTAGGAGGATCACTCTCAGTCTCTCCTCCTCCTTCCCCTTGCTGACAATTAGCATGACTCAGTCTACAAAGCATCAGCAGTGTCAATGACTCAGCCATATGGCACGTGCTCCATCAGTCCATCTAGGCATGATTTTAAAAAGAAGCAAATACAAGTTCTTTGTGCTGTGGGAAGACAGCTCTTTCAATTTGATAAAAATAAAACGTTCCATCCAACCACCCACAGAAGGAAGTGACTTCATACAGCTGACCACTTAGCTGCCACCCTAGTAATTGCCAATATATTTTGTTTCTTTCCATCAGGTCAAAAAATCATTCTTCCTTTTGATTCACATATAATTTGACATAACTCATACATTTAAGGTATATTTTCTAAAACCCAATTCATATAAAGCTTGTGGGTACTTGCCTCATTCAGCCTACAGCCTCTAAGCACGGAGAGTGCTGCTCCTGCTGGTAAAGCCACTGATCAAACTCTGGAGACCAGAGCACTTCTATCATTCTTTCTCTGCTGAACAAAGTATTGTGGAGCACATGTTCTGTATCAGGAAGGGCTTAGAAAGAAGTTCCAAAGACAGAGGAGATTTTATGCTGTTTATGAAGGTATACATTATGTATAGGGAATAGTTTATATATTAAAAGAGTAAATCTATTTTCAGTCCACAGCTATTGTGCTCAGTACGCTGTGAAGCTGTTTCCAGAAGTGCTGATCTCAACCATGTGTCAAAAGTCTCCTTGATTGCTCACTGAGTTCCAGTTACCAAACTCTTTATCCTCTGAACACATAAGGGATGTGGCTTATGGTGGTATTTTTCATTCTTTGCTTTCTTTCCAGTAAATAAATATAATTTAATGTTTTAAATAGAGGTTCTAAGTTATTTTATTTATGGAGTGAAGCATAAGGAACATTCCCCAGACATGTCCCTTTTTTTTCCTTGAGTGAATGCAGAGTTTCTGCTGATATTTGTTAGGTGTGGACATCTTTGGAGGTAACTATTTAAATTGTCAGCAGGTACTAAATGCCACTGACAGTTTCAAAGTTTAGTAAAACAGCCACCACATTCACAGCAGCAGTAACCCCCTCGAGGAGAACCAAGAACAGCCTAAAACAGTCTAACAATCTTTTGATAATCTAGTCTAACAAATACAAGTATGCAGTACATTTCAACTTCAAAGTGATCTAGTTAATGAATCTCTAAATTTCACTCTGGCAACAACTCAGAAAGCTGGAGCTCCATAATACTAGGTTGATTAGAGTTATCTTCTCTATTTTTAATGAGACATAGACTAACACTGGGAGCTTACTGCAGAATCAGCGTCCTGGGAACCATCTGCAGGCCATGTGCTTGTACTAAATAGAAGGGGAAATATGGAGCGAATTTGTATTGCTCTAATTGTTTGTTGCATGTCTTACAGTGGTGGCTTGGACAGCAGGAACTATAGAGATTTTAGCAAGAGTCAGATGTTAGCCTAACCTGCCTTGTCAGCTTATCTGCATTGGGGTAACACAAAGGGGCTACACAATACAAAGCAGGTTAATTAGATGGCAGACATCCACTGCAACAGGCTCTGCCTGACTCCTCGGCTGAGTGATTACTGAACAACAAACACGCCAAACTGGGATTCATGCCCCACTGTACAAACCACTACACCAAAATAAGACATAACTCTTGCAGCATTTAGAACCCACTTTACAGCTTTTAAATCATGGTACATATGTTTACATCTTTCAGTATGTGCTCTTTCTCTATTTCAGGATGACTTGGTATACATTTTTCTGAATAAGAATCCGATTTACAATTTTACTTCCAACGTTCTTCAGTTTAGTATCCATTTGATGTTTTGTCAGGAGTTATCCAGACAATAAAGAAGTCCCAGTGTTTGAATCATTTCACCTGGAGTACCAGAAGCAATGGGATAATAAAAAAGATGACAAACATGATGTGCATTTACAATAAGGGGAAAAGTGCTGTCTGCTACATTGTCAGCAGTTCCCATCTTGCTAGTATGTACAATTTTCTAGTGAAAGAGTTTGAAAAAACAAAGGGTTCTGTCATCTGGCACCAATGACGAGAGCAACAAATTCATAGACCTGACTGGCTCCTCAGGGCACTAGCATTTCTGAACTATTAATTAAAAATATTAAAATAATGAATTACACGATTTAATTAAATAATTTTAAATAATGTGATTCTAAACATAAGAAATTCTGAGTAGATTAAAGCTTCATAAATTGAAGCCTTATTTGGAATCCGATCACAATTTATAGTTTGGATTATTTCCTCCCACTGGATTTGTCAGGGGCTGTACTTGTATAACAGCGTATTAGACTATCTAGATCTTAAATGAATCATCAACTTCCTCTAGATGCTTACACTGTAACACGAGTGGTTTTGTACAGTGTAGGAATAAAGCAATGCTTTTAAGAGGTTTGCTGAACTGCACCTTCCTCACTGCTTTATAAAGATCTATGATCTCAAGAAATACAATCTGTAACATTCTACTGCTATAAAATTACTTATCTGTTGAATTCTGTACAAGTAATTTAAATTGTATGTCTAGTCATGGTATAAAGTTAGTTGCAGCCAAGCTATTTCAGATAAATGAGGCTGAAGTTAAATCTTAGAACAGTGTCCAGCTCTCTCATGAGAGCTTCCTTTCTAGAAGAACGAACAAAAAAAAACCGAAGAAGGCCTAGAGGTTTAAAAGCAGATACAGCTGGAAAAGGGGAGAGGGTGACACACTGTCTGTCTCAGCCACCAAGGCTGCCCAGAAGCTTATGCAGCGTGCCTTGTCTGCAGTGTTCTCCCTGGAGAACACTTGCGGCGACACTGCTCCCTTGGCGGGGGCGGGGGGAGTTGAACGGTTAAGAGATGCCCTATTGCCCAAGGACTGCCTGAGGAAATAGGTGCTTCGAGGTCAGATGCGGCCTGAATGCCAAGGAATCTGTGACCATTGGGACATGACGCTCTAGTTGTTCTGAGGGATTTCAAACTTTCTTACTGACAGGAAGTGAAGAAAATCCTGAGCGAGCTGGAGGGGTTTTCTTTCTTCCCGGGAAAGAGCAATAATCCGTCTCATCAGACACACTGCGGCTTTTTTCTCGAAAGAGAGGAATAAACCGGCTCGGAAACCTAAAAACCTAACCGTAAAAATCAATTAAGGTTTCCGCTTCTCCTCAGAGCCCGCTAGTGTCGCCGCGCCCAGTGAGCGCCGCCCCGCCCCAACCACCGGCCGAGGGGCTCCCGCCGCCCGATCTGAGGGAAGCCGCCAACCCCTCTTGACAGCTGGAAAGCCGCGCTCCCGCGTCACGCCATCACCGGGGTAAAACAAGCCCGCAGTCAGGTTTTATCCCGCTTCCCGTAGGCGCGACCGGCCTTTATTTCCAGCCGGAGCCGAGGAGGCCGGGCCGGGGCCCCGCCGCGCTGAGGGGTTAGCCCCGCAACCGTATTTACCCATTTTGAGCGCAGGCCCATTCCCGTATGTACCGCCGCGGACATTCCCCGCAGGCAGGCATTACCGTATTTACCGCCACTAACTCACAGCCGCGTTTCACGGCGGGACGCAGAGCACGTGCTCCCGTATTGCCCTGCGCGGCAGCGCAAACCCGTCACGGCATCTCACCCAGGCGGCACGGCAGGGCCGCGCATGCGCCGTGCCGTGCCGCGCCGCGCCGCGGGAGGGTGGGAGCGTGACCCGGCGGGGTGAGGCGGAGCGGCCGGGCCCGCCTCCTTCCCGGGGCGCTCGGGGCTGGCGAGGCTTCCCCTGACTCTGCTCCGCCGGCCGGCGGGCCCCACGGAGGCGCGGAACCATGGCGCAGCGGAGGTCGGCGGAGCGCGGGCCTTGCCAGGGGGCGGCGGGAAGCGCCAGGCACCAGCGGCAGCTTCTCGAAGGTACCTGGGGTTGGGGCGGCGGGAGTGCGCGGCGGGCGGCGGGCAGCGTCCCCGTCCCGAGCGAGCGGCGGCGGGAGGGCCGCCTCAGCGGGGCCGGGGTGAGGCGGGCTCCCGCGGCGGGGCCGGTCAGCCGCTGCCTGCGGCGGCGTCGGGGGCCGGTGTAGGGCGGCTGCTCGCCCCACTCCCCCCCTTCCGCTAGTGGGGGGACACGCGGGGCGTCGTGTGTGTGTGTGGGGTGTGTGTGTTATTCCACTGCCGGCACGGCTGTAATACAGAAGGTGGCAGTGGCAGGAAGTGCAGTTTGCTGTATTTTCCCTTTTCGTCCTCTAAGTTGCTTTTAAAAATAATTCTTTATTTGTGTTTTTTTTTTTATTTTATTTTTTTTTCTTCCCTTCTCTCTGGAGAAGGTATTATTAAAATAGCCACTGGTGAGCTATTCATGCTTGTAACTGCTACATGGATGCTGCCTTCTGTCCCTTCAGCCCAAGCAGAGCCAGCACACACCTGTGGGATCACTCTGACCTCAGAATGTTAAAGCGAGTAAAACTGCCAGCTCGTCCGGCGGGCCCTGTTTTGCTCGTGGGTTTCATCATCCTTTTGCTGTGTTTCACAACAGTGAGGTGGCAGTGCCACCGGCTTGAATGCTGTGCATTGGCAGGGTAGTCATGCCACTGGCATCTGCGAATGAAAACACAGTCTTGGCATTTTTTGTGTTCTTCAGGTGACCAAGAGAACTTGCTTTGCTTACTGCAAAGTTGTGCTAGTCTAGCAGTATCTGAGGAGGGGGAGTGTTTTAATATGTGTGCACATGCACACCTTAGTATGGGTGCAGAGAGTTCTTACTGATTATTTCTCTGTTTAAATTAATTGTGTGCATTGCTGCAGTTGTGCTAATCAGTGTATTGCATATATAAGATCATATTAGTAAAAATCTAAAGTATAAAAGCAGTCTAATAAGTATTTGTGTCACTTACTGTATTCCTATTGCTTCTTTTACATAAGTATTTAAAGGCTAATAAAGACTTAGACATGTGCAAGAGAAATCTTTTTATGTGAATGTAAAATACGTGTAATTCCTAAGTCTGAGAACTGTATATCCCAGGCCAGTATGTGTGCATTTACATATATTTTCTTCTGATGAGTGTATCTCACCTCGTTGGCTAGTGGCTGTGCTGGGTATTCCTTAGGAGGTAAAAAAAAAAAAAAAAAGATCCTGTTTCAAAGTTGCATAGTAAATACTGAAGGTGTAACTTCAAGCTAAATCTCTAGTTGACTAGCAGAAGATTTGTGGCAAAAAGGAAGAAATATGTTTGGCTTACTTTATTTTGCTCTACTTTTTTCTTCACAAATGTATTTCTTACTTGAGGCTTAAATTATTATGGGTTGTAGGAGTTGACTTCTGTGGGATGTTTGCCAGCCTAAGAACTTAATATTTGTTTGAAAGCTTTCAGGGAATGTGAGCGATGTTTTGTATATGTTATTGAAAGTATTTGTGGGAAGGTTATGTCCACAGAGAGCTTACCTTAACATTTTATTAAAGTATAAGTTTGAAATCTGTTGTGAGATGTGAGGGTGGTGGTATTATTTTGGTTTGTTTTTCTTAACTTTGTTTTTGATTAATTTCAGGGAAAGCTCAGGCAGAAGGTGGATCAGCTCGGACATCACTTCTTATTTTAGTGTCCATCTTCTTATCAGCTGCTTTCCTTATGTTCCTGGTATATAAAAATTTTCCACAGCTGAGTGAGTAAGTATGTCAGGAAAGATTAATTTATTTGCTTTTCATTCAGTATCAAATTGTAGAGGAGCCTACAGGGGGTTAAGTGATTTTTAAACTGACATGTTAATTATAGATATAATTGTTTTTTTTTTTTTAAGGGAATTTGAGTTTATAATCTACTATGTCAGGATGAAAAGCTTGATTTTGAAATACTGACTGGTAGGATCTGTGTAAACAGAGTTGGACTTGACCTAAGGTTTCTGTTGGGCAGTTGAGATATCATGTTTTGAAAAGTTACCCCCCATCACATTAACAATGGCAATGCCCAGTGTTCTAAACCTTCTTCAGTTGAGAGCCAAATCATCTTGGTTAGGGCTAGGTTTATTTTAAAATTCCTTGTGTGCTGGTATAACTCCAGGCTGTTATCAAAAGGGGGCATCTACCTTCCTATATAGCTAAGAGTCACTTTCTCTTTTTCTCCTTTTCATTGCATCTGATACTCATGTTGGGAAGGTAGATAGTTTGACAAGATGGAAGCCTGCTTGTCTGACAATTTTCTTTTTTTCTTTTAGTATTTAATTTTCTGTCTGATTAACTTGCTCAACAAGTTCAGTTTGCAACAGTCCAATCACTAAGTCTGATACAGAGGAAGAGAGGACATTCAACTGTGCTGCCCAGGGTTGCACCAGATTAAGGTGTGACATGTGATTTTGCTCTTAAAGCTTTGTTTGTTTGTGAGGTAAAGCTCTGCTGCTCTTGCCACACTTCAAATGTTATGACCCAAGTGTTGAGGCAGTTACAGTTGTTCTTGGCTGAATCGCTGACCAGTGTTCAGTTGCCAAGGTTTGATTTGAGTAATGATTTCTTTTTGATCATTACTTGGTAAGAAGAAAAACACAATCCTAGAAGTGAAGCAGATTATTGTAATGAATAAAAAAATATGATTTGCAAATACCTAAAATTGAGGATTTCCTAATACAAAACATACTGTAAATATTAAGTGTTCATCTGAGAGCATTATGACAGCAATAATCATGTGGTTTGTTTGAGGTTGTAGCATAGTGATGTAGTGTATCTAATTACCTATTTATTCAGTAAGTAATTTTACTATACCGTTTGATTATATTTACCACCATTTCTGCTTTTTTTTTGTTTTTTTTTGTTTTTTTTTCAGGGAAGAAAGAGAATGCATAAAGGTTCCTAGAGATATGGATGATGCAAAGGCCTTGGGAAAAGTCCTGTCTAGATATAAGGACACATTTTATGTTCAAGTATTAGTGGCTTATTTTGCCACATATGTTTTGTATCCTTTTCCTGACATAAAAGGCAGTTTTGATGTAGTCATGTTTCTCTGTAAAATAAATGAAAAATATGGACACTTAAATTCTTGATCATAAGTGAAGACGGCTAACATACTTAGATGTCTTTATAAATAGACAAAAATATTAAAAAATCTTTGAGCTTAAAAATATTTCTTCTGTGTTTCAGTATGCTTTTTGGACTGTTAGAACAAATTGAGTAAAAGGGAATTGGTGCATGCATGTACATGCTGTTGGGTATTTGCATGCAGGCTCACCTTGACTGTGTCTCTTATGGGCAAGATTTTTAGCTTTAATGTTATACTTGGTCTCATTTAATGTTGTATTAACTTTTCTAATTGCAAACTGAATTGCTGGTTAGAAATGACTGTTGATTCTAAAGGAAAATTGAGACTACTGCATTGTTCTTCCTTGAGACATTCGAAAGTGTAATGTAGGAGTCATTTACAGAGTATTTTACAGCATTTCTCAAGGAAAGCATTTTGAGCCTTCTTTCATCTCTGGTGCCTACGTTCAAAAAACAAATCTCTATTTCCTTTGAGAGCGCTAAATTTCTGAAGTACTTTCTGCCTAGGAAGACACAATGGCTACCTGTGTTCCGTGTGAACTTTTTTTCTGACTGCTGAATATATTAATTAATCATTAAACACACTCTTAACTGCAACACTTAACTAAAGGTTAATAACTTCTAAAAGCTGTATAAGATGTCCATTTCATACTTTAACGCAGGAGGCTTTCATAACAGAGAAAAATCAGCCCCAAATGTGCCATTAGTAACTATCTTCTAGCTTGTCCTTTTTAAGTGTAATTCACAAATAATAAATTTATGAAGCAAATTAAAATGTTAGAGTTTATATATTAACAAGAAGTAGAACAGAAATTGCCAGTTTATTGAACTACTGGAGCAGCGGATGTGACGTTTACTGTCTCAGCAGTAGACTCTGATCGGTGACAAGCATGTTACAGTTATCTCAGAACCTTGACACTTGTGTAGAAAAAGCTGTATTTGTTGTAATGGACTTAATATAAGAAAGATTATTTGGCTTTTTGATACATAAGTCAGTTCAACTCAGATAAAATAGTGTGTAGATTTTTTTTGCTTTATAAGATTTCTATCCAAGGTGGGCAATACATCATAGTCTCAGGTATGCCTAGCAAGCCTTAAACTCAACAGCCTGTTTGCTTATGCTGCACAAACTTAATTTTTGCCTTTTTGAAAAATCCTGCCTGAAATTGGTGAACCTACATCCTAGTTATCTAGTGACTTCAGCATGCCTACTTGTAAGGAAATAGTAGCTGCCTTCATACATGCCAGTCTTCCACGAAACTCATAGTAGTTACAGACTCAGACAGTTCTGTGAACTTTTCAGAGAGAATATCTGAAAACTGCCTATCTCTAGTCAACAATGGAAAATCAGAAGTGTGTGTTTCCTGTAATGTCACAATAAATCCCCAATGTCAGTTGTAGCACAGATAAAGAGAAAAATGTACTACAGCTTATTAGTTAGTGTTCTGTTTTTGTATGTTTAATAATGAATCTCTCCCTTGTTTCCCTGTGCTTGGGCTTCTTGTGCTGTTCTGTAAATGTATTTTGAAGTAAAGATCTTTAGAGGCTATGCCTATTTATATTTATGCCTTTTAAAATTGTAATATGTATCCTGACTGCTTATAAAATTCAGAATTGGGTAGCTCTTTAAAAATGTTTTTTTCTTAACTAAGATGTATTCAGCTTGCAAACATTTGCTATTCCTGGTTCTATATTTCTCAGTATCCTGTCAGGGTTTCTTTATCCTTTTCCGCTGGCGTTATTTCTTGTTTGTCTGGTAAGTATGGAAAATAGTTTGTGAGGGCATACATTTCAATCTATTCAGAATACAACCAAGCATCTGAACAGCTTCCTGTTTGAAATGATTAGAGTCTGAGTGAAACAGGGGTATGCTTTAGTTTGAGGAATGAATGATTTCTCACTCAGCTCTGTTGTAAGAATGGCGTTACCCACAAAATTCACTAGCATTGGTTGATGATCCAAAAGACTAAACTGTTTCTCCAAGTTTTCTTAATAATTGAGGCATCTGAGTGTGAATCAACCAGAGTTTCCTTTACTTTATATTTGTCTAGCATCTGCCAGAATCTGATTGTAATTTCTGAACAGAATTACAGTACAGCATTTTAGTTACTGCACTGCAAAACACAACTGTTTTTAAATGGCTTAAATACCCAAGGCACTTAAGATATTAAATGTATGTTACTGACAAGCTTCAAAAAATGTCATGTACAAAAGATACAGTCATAATGAACCTTAGTATATAAGAATGAGATAATTGAGTAGGTATAGAGGATCAAGTTGATCACTTTTCAAGTTTGAATCTCTTTAATGCCGTTGTGCCCCATATTTACAAAGCTTTCACTGTTCAAAATCATAAAATAAAACTGCAGAGGCACTCCATATTAACTGTAAAGTAATCAACATTGTCTACTTTGAATGTTAAGTTTGATCTAAATGTCTTGGAAATCAAGGAACTGTCTTGAGTCAACAACATTCTTAGTGAGTGTGTATGTACTGCTGAAGGAGAGCCCTTCAACCTCAATGGAGGGCCCTATAGAAGCAGGGTCCATCTAGCCAGTGTAGTTAATAGGGATATAAGACATAAGATCAATTCGAGTTTCTGCTCATTTGTTATTTTTTTTTCTTTTTTTTTTAGTGCTCAGGACTTGGAGCTTCATTCTGCTATATGCTTTCATACTTAGTGGGACGTCCTGTTGTATACAGATATTTAACAGAAAAAGCAGTAAAATGGTCAGAACAGGTAAAGTTTTACAGATGATAGAATCATAGAATGGTTTGGGTTGGAAGGGACCTTAAAGACCATCTAGTCCCCAACCCCCCTGCCATGGGCAGGGATACCTTCCCCCAGCCCCATCCAACCTGGCATTGAACCCTTCCAGGAAGGGGGCAGCCACAGCTGCTCTGGGCAGCCTGTGCCAGCACTTCACCACCCTCACAGTAAAGAATTTCTTCCTTATATCGAATCTGATTCTACCCCTTTTCAGTTTAAAAACACTACCCCTTATCCTATCCCCACACCCCCTGATAAAGGGTTCCTCCCTGCCTTTCCTGTACCCTCTTTAAGCTCTGGAGGGCTGCTTAAAGGTCTCTGCGGAGCCTTCTCCAGGCTGAACCCCCCCAGCTCTCTCAGCCTGGCCTCACAGGGAGCTGCTCTAGCCCCATGAGCATCTTCATGGCCGCCTCTGGCCCCGCTCGAGCAGCTCCGTGTCCTTCTGATATTGGGGGCCCCAGAGCTGGACCCAGCACTGCAGGGGGGGGTCTCATGAGAGCGGAGCAGAGGGGGCGAATCCCCTCCCTTGATCTGCTGGCCACACTTCTCTTGATGCAGCCCAGGACACGGTTGGCTTTCTGGGCTACAAGCTCACATTGCTGGCTCATTTTTTCATCCACCAGCACCCCCAAGTCCTCTTCCCCAGGGCTGCTCTCAATTCAGAGATGCTGAAATTTATGATCAAAAATGTATAGTGGAATAGCATGAAAAACTAGGGGGTCTTGTGCTCATGTATCTTGTTTCAAAGAAAGAATTCTGACTCCTTTCTGACACCTTTCTCTGAGTGTTTTTAAATAGTGGGGAGTATTTCTGCTTTTATGGTATTTCCTGTGAGGAAGCTCTTTTCACCTAGGAAGAGTTTGCAACTGATTACCCCCCTTCAGTTTAGCTAATGTCCATAGGAAACCTCTCTAGTTTCAATTTAGAGTAATAGCTTTCTAAGCATCAGAACTAATGAAAGCTGGGTTTGTTTTTTATGGGGGAAGAAAGCCTATTGCTGTATGTATGACTGCAAAACCTTAATTTGAAGATCTTATTGTGGTTGAAGCGTTTAGAAACTTTCTCTTACAGTATCTGGTAATATTAGTTTAAGCAAGTGTTAATTGTCAGATGAAGTTAAAGATTTTGCAATACAAAATCATAGCGTGATTTGTATTTGACGTCATGTCTCTTGCTTTGATACTCAAACGTGTTCAGACAGAATTTATTTTTTTTCAGCAAGTATGAAGTGCAACTAACTGTTGTCGTCTGTTCAAGATTTTTGAATCACACAAAAATATTTTAAACTTGTTCTTCATTAGGTGAGATGTGGAGCTGTCCTGCACAGTTAATCTAATTAAATAATATAGTAGTATTTTTGACTCTTTCCCCAAGTAAATCTTAATATCGCAGTATAATCTTGAGGCTGTTCTCCAAATGGCAAATGGTTACTATTTCTATTAGTAGAACTAGATACGTGATTTAAATTTAGGTAGTTACATGTGCACTTCATATCTCACTGTTTCCAGGTAAATTGGACTATGTCATGCTTGAGAGAGCCAAGATGTTTTATATACAAAATTAATCAATGTTTAAATATTTGTCCTTCACTAAGAATAATAACACCCCCACAATGGTATCACTGAACAATAGCAGGGCTACTGACTTTAGTTTTGCAGTTAAAGCTAAATTTGGGGAATAAAACCAGGGTTGTGACTGGGGTGGGTTGCTATGTGAGATTTGAGATGGAATTGCAATCAGACCATGCTTGGTTTCATCTGGGGCCAGATGACCATGTTTAGGTTTAGGCTTAGTGAAGGTCTGTTGGGATTAGGCCAGAAGTGGTGGATGCTTTACTACCCTTATAACTTTGTTTGAGGTTACAGTTCTTGTTTGAAATGGCTGATGTCTGAAAGCCAGGCTGGAAGGAGAAGAGGCTTTGATGTAGTACTAGTGTAAGGAGCTGGGCTAGATTTGAGAATATAATTAAGACTGTGAATAAAGTTGGGGCTACTGTGGTTGCTTTTGGGTAAATGTGCTGATGTATGGGTAGATAGGTTTTTGCAACTGTACTGGCAGCATCCACCTGAGGAACTTAAGAGCCATGACCTGTGTAACTTTGCAGGTGAGGAATACAGCTATATTTCAGGTTTGATTGTGAGTGAGGATAGAATGGGTTGAGGAACAGGCTTCATTGCTAGTTTCTGCAAAAGCTTTAGAGTCAGGATGACGCGCTGGCAGTATTGATTGGGCTCCAGTTAGACAGACAGAGGTTGCTGTGCTGGTTAGTGTTAGGCCTGCTGCTGAGTCAAATTATACTCATTTGCTGTTAAGTTGTCTGGTTCAGACACATTATCACCATGCTCTACCACAGACTGGTATTTCCAGACTAACTTCTGTACTATTTAACAGGTAATTCACTGATGACTCTTCCTTGAGTCACTCATTGTTTAGCTGATTTCTATGTTTGCAACTTGTGAATTTCTACAAAAGATATAAAAAAACAAACAAAAAACAAAATAAAACAACAACAACAAAAAAACAACAAAAACCCCACAAAAACTCAGCCCCCTAAAACCTCTATTCGCAAAATCATTGTGTATTTTCAAGACAGGGATGTTTTTTTATTAATTCTTTTTTATTTTGTTTTGGCAGGTGGAACGACACAGAGAACACCTCATTAACTACATAATATTTTTGAGAATAACACCTTTTCTTCCCAATTGGTTTATCAATATAACATCTCCTGTCATTAACGTGCCATTGAAAATATTTTTCATTGGCACTTTTCTAGGTAAGAATTTTGGCTAGTGAACTGACATTTGGGGGTAGCCAGAAGGGCTATTTGCTTCTCTCTGTATGCATTGTTCAGCAGAGATCACCACCTACTGGGCAGCTGAAAGGTTACATTAGAATATTAGTGTACTTTTCGATGTGTGGAGCTTATAGCATTGAAAGACTGTAGTAGTCATGACTATTCTGATGTGCTGGATCAGAGGTAATGAGCCCAGGCTAATTACCTGCTTACAGAAACATACATCATATGAACACTTTATTAGTAACTTTTTGTTCCACTTGATGACTATAATACTACTGTGATCTTCTGTAGGCTCCTGTTTTGAGCTCAGCATGATTGTGTGAGCAAGTAGGTGACTTTATCTGAAGAATTGTTTCTTCCCTTCCCGTTCCATTTTGTTCATCATAATATATCTTCCTAGGAGTGAATTAATAATTTAACTAATGTAGTGCTAAACACTTTAGTTTTGTAATTGGCATACTTTTGCAAATACTTTGTAATCTGTTGTTTAGGAAATGGTCCATATTTTTCCTTCATAAACTTCTTTGAACTCTACAAAACCCATTTATAGACGGACAACTTGAAATCTGCAGAGTCTAAAGAGCAGAGATTATTTTCTTAGTCTTTGGTGTTTGAGTTGGTGTTAAAAGTATTAAAAATGACAAAGTCAGTTCTGTTGATAAGGGGTTTTTGTCTTTTGAATTTTATATTTACACCCCCTTTTTAAAAAGAAAAAAGTACAAGGCAACAAAGCCTGAAATTTTTGGTGTTAAAAGTTGGATGACTAATTTGTTTTCTTTTTCCCATTTTTCACCCTAACAAGCTGTTTTTTTTTTTTTTTGTTTTCCTTTGCCCTCCTACCTTTCTAATTCCCTGCTCCAGGTGTGGCACCACCATCTTTTGTAGCCATTAAGGCAGGAACAACGCTGTACCAACTTACAACAGCAGGGGAAGCTGTTTCCTGGAACTCTGTCTTTGTTCTCATGATTCTAGCCATCCTCTCCATTCTACCAGCTGTCTTTCAAAAGAAACTGAAACAGAAGTTTGAATAAGGATTGAACTGGACCAGAATTTCCCATACTTCATCTCAGGATCAGCACTTCTGATATTTGTATATTTGCTTTTCTATTGGATCTTAAGCAGTTAAAGGGGAGGCGTATAATTGATAAGAGTGTCTTTAAATGAACATGAGGCCTAAAATTGAAGGAACTTTGTTCAGAAATGTACTGCAAATAGTTTTGTAACCAAACTATCAGTGTTTTACTTTGGGAGGGTGTGTGTGTGTGGCCATCAGGATGAGGGAGGTGAAAACACAGATGTAACATTTTGCTCTGATTATATGCAGAGCAAAAATAGTCATGTAGACATAAACTACAGATAATGCTTTCTAAACCTTGCAGGAGAAAACCCTTTATTCAGTCCAATTTTGTAACATTCTCTGTAGGTTTGCATGCGATCTGGTCCGAGTACATTTCCCATCAACAATATTTTTCATCTTTTTTTTTTGCCTTTGGGAGTTCCAAAATCATAGCATAATTTAATAATGGTGCTCACTCAAAGAAAGGGGTTTTGCAGTACTTTAACTACAATAATATTCTCATCCTGATTGTTTACTTCTATTTATTAGTGCTGTGTGGATTTAAAATACTTGAACCTATATCTGCTTTACTAACTGGATTAACAAAGGCAAAGTGTCACATCATTCCCTCTTGTCCTCTGTGAAGTTTTATTCTGGGAGAGGATATAGCAAGGGAGAGAGCAGGTTAGAATTTTTATCATGGCTGGTTGATGATTTTTGAAGTTCTAATTTTAATTTTTAAATGTTGATTATTTTGCCAGTATTTCACTTGCATAGATTTATCCTGCCAATTTAAGAAAATGATCGTTTGACCACATAGAACTTTCATTACCATTTCTCAAGCAATATGTAAAGCATATAAAATTTCCATTGCAGCTCGATTAGCTAGAAGAAATGTCAGGTACACAAATTGGTGCAGTTCTTACAAAAGAGCTGATTCCAAATAATGTTCAATGCATCGTGTAATGGAAGGCTCTTGTGTCAGTGTATATAGAATTGAAAAGATGATTCAATTGTCTAAATCAGCTGGTTGCCCATTGTCAGTTACTGTGATTCACCTTTATGTAGAAGCACATTTATTCACTCAGTAAAGTGTATGATACCTCCCCTTGTATGCTTGTAACTGTTGTAGTTTGTTGTATTGTCAATGGAATCCCATAAAACAAGGCCCTGATCAGCAAGGAACTCGGGTGTGCATTTACGTTTTATCCTACTGAAACCAGTGCTGCTTATATGCTTTAAGTTGGTGCCCCTGAAGTATCTTGCTGAAATAGGAGTTGACACGTTAGCATATGCTCTGACTGAAGAGTTTATCTGTATCCTCATGTTAACTCATCATATGATAGATCATTGAAATGTAAAAGAACAGTTCCATAAATGTGATAATGTGAAAGGTACTGGTACCTTTACAGGGTTTTGTTCTTTTTGTAACATAATGTTAATTGATTCTTTCATTTCATCACAGTATTACATGTAAATATATAGTAAATATTATTGATACACTATTTGTCTTTTATTTAAATCTAGGCTGCACAGTAAGTGGTATTTTTTACATAGGTAAATTCATATCACTTCTGTTTGCAAATTTATTGTAAATCCAGGCTGCACAGTAAGTGGTATCTTTTACATAGGTAAGGAAATTTATATCACTTCAGTTTGCAAATTTATTGTAAGATCATTTAGCTTCAGCAACTGTTTTGTTATTTAGAATTTACTCTAAAAGTGTACTTTATTGGCACTTAAAACTGAACAGTGATTATTGTTATTGCTGCAGTTCTAATCTCAGAGGTCATCTACCCAGGGGATTTATTCCATAGTAAACTTGAGTGTGAATTTAGCTGTTGTGAACAAGTGTCCCCTGGACTACTGAGTGTGAAGTTGCTGTAGATTTACAGCATACTTTCCTGCATAGTTGATTTTTCATGCAGATGAACTCTCAGAATAAATTACCTACTACTTACTGTCCTTTTCTCAAAATTTGTCTTAATTTTTGGTCAATAACAGATGCTGATGTAAAATCTCTTCTGTGCTGTATAAAGCCAATGTTTTGGTGGAATCTTGACACTAAAGGAGGGACTGAACTATGTTTCATTTTAATGTGAATCATACTATCACTTGACATTTTCACTGAGTTCATTTCACTGTGTAGATGGGATCAGGCTATGTTACTGAAAAATGTGTTGTGTTTCAGCCATAGATGGGGTTCCCATCACAGTGACTAAAAGCCTTAAGACCTCAAAAAGTTTGAAAATAAGGTTCTTTCCTTTTGCAAAACCTTAGCATTTTTTGAATCTGTCCCTTTTGTGTTTATCTTCAGCTGCCAACAGTCTCAGGCAGTTTCCTACCCCACGAGGACTACTTCTGAGGGTTGTGAAAAAGGCAAAAAAGCACTGTGCTGTGGAATACTGTACTAGCCTACTCTTTCCTTTAGGGAATCCAGCAAGTGATCCAAGTGATAGCCATAACATTTTGACAGGAAAACAGTGGCTACCATAAAACAAACCGGGAAATCAGGAAGATGTAGCTTTATTTTTAGTTGCAAGGAATTTTGACCTCTTAGGTGACCTGTTTATCTTTTGGAATTTTTTGTGATATCTGCATGACATCATTACTAAATGTCTCTTGCCATTTGATAATAAAGCTATTATATAAAACATGAAACATTGTATTTTTGAGTACAACGAAGCATGCTGAACTTCCCACTAAGCTTAATTTTTTATTAACCTGTTTAAAAGGGATGAGTTCTTAAATGGTATTTTTAATGACTGATTAAAAATTAAACTGAGCTGATTACATCTGTAGATGAGATTTCTTCTGGTTTTACCTTTATTTCACAACACCTATGTCAACTTGACTTCCTTTTCTTTCTGAAATTAATTTCTCACATACAGTAGTAAGTTTGACAAGTTTCTGTATTTTGCACTGGAAGGCAATTGGGTCTTAGTTGTTTTATCTCCTCAAACAGAATCATTTGCATAATTTTATTTGGGTTTTTTATGATTTCCTGATGGAAGGGTTATGTGCTAAAGTTATTACAGCTTTATTCACCATTCCTTAATATTCTGTTACGTCCAGTTTATGAAATTCTTTTTTTTGCCTTGTATAGAAAACTGATGCTGAAAGCTTGCTGAAAGGTTAAGACAAAATAAGTGAAAGTTAAAAAAAAAATGAAGTTTTTCTTTAAAATGTGAGTTATGCTATTATGCAGTCAAAACACAGTTTTTGTCGTTAGGTTACTTTGAAGATTTTTGTGTGTGGTTCCTGAGGTTATTTACCATTTATGGTTTCTGTGATAACCTAGTTTTATGATAGTAACTAAAATGCAGCATGGATTGCTCTGTTTTGCATTAGAACTGAAGTATGCTGCCTGCCCCATACTGTGCAGTTTACTCTGGATTAAGCTGAACAACCAGCAGAATCGACTCAACCAGGTAGCTGATCATGGACTGAAACACCCAGCAGCTGTTCCAGGTACATTTTTACAAATGTAAGGACTAACTGAAATAGAAGCCTTTGTGAGAGCTGTTGCCACAGGAATGAAATTCATATCTCTAGTATTTTGCACTAGAAATACAGTAAAAAGGGGCAAAAGAGGAAATGCATTTCTTCTTGATTCTTACCTTTTTTTCTTTCATTTTTGTAAGTAATAACAATGGAGTAATCACTGGGAATTTTGAGAACTAAAGTGCCAAGAATCATACCTTCTTGTCAAATTCTTCTATTCAAAATCGAGTTCAGCACTGAACAAATCCTGTCCCATGAGTGCCTGTCCATTACTTAGCACCCACTGCAGAGGCAGTGCCAGAAAGAGGAGGTCAAACTATCCCTCAAATATGTAATGAATGTTTTTCATAGTGCGGGACAAACTTTTGCAGGATAATAAAATGGGATTTTTTTTTTTTTTCCCAGAAGTCTGAAAAGAATACAGGTCAAATTGTAGAATGCTTTCCTTCTGTCATAGCGTGAGATTTGTGAACAATATGTTTTAGTATGACAGTGTTAAGAGGGAAGCGAAAGAAGCTTTGACAGGAGAGCAGGATCCGGAGTGAGCTTTTCAAATTTCCCTCAAAGAGAAGTCAATTGTTCTGATTATTTTTATGACTAATTGATGTCTTGCAATGACACATATTTCTGTCTAACTCTCAGCTGGTGGCTTTATAGCTCCAGGTTACTTAAACTGAAAGAAGCTGTGGCCTTTTAATAATGGCAATTAATATGAATAAGAGCGTAGTATGTTTGCTAACATACTGTAACTTCCCTTCCTGTTCTTAAAAATATTCCACCTAGTGTAATAATTCATGTTTCATTGTTTTGTAGTACACAAGGAAGAATCTGGGTCTGGTGCTCTTGCAGGGGTTCCTGGGCTGTCTTTGCAGCCACCGTGTTGTCTTGGGCCTCCCACGAGTGGGAAATGTGCAGATCTTATTAAACTGGATGTTTTCAAGAGACATCTTGGCTGTTCGTGCCTTGGCCTTTGCCTCTATCTTGGAGGACTCTGCCTCCTTAGACTGGGGCACCATCCTCAACAAGTGTAAGTGAAAGCGGGAGCAAACAAAACCGGACTGACATTCCTGCCCTCTGCCCTCAGCTTGGGTATCAACAACTTGGACCTCTCTGACAAGTGGCCTGGTGCCACTGCCCATCTGAGGCTCTGAGAGCCCTTGTAGGAGATACACCTGTGTGATGCATCTCTGACCTGCTCACAAGCTGCACCACCGGGTATGAGTTCCTGGAGCTGGGGAGAAGAGGGACAAGGCTGTGTGGGAGCTTAAGAAATGTGCAGCACCTTGATGTGACAGTTTTCTGCTCTGTGCCCCGGTGTGGGAGGATGGGTGTTACGTGATCTGGTGTACAGGCTGTATTCCAGAAGTCTGTTGCATGGATATCACTTGCATCAAACGTTGTTATTAAGCAAGTGCAGCCACTTTCAAGTGTCCTGTTGTGCAGTCTGGAGAGGGTTGCTTTAATGTTAAGTGTCACAGGCTGTGGGTTTTTTTTTTTTTTTTTTTAGGAATCCAGGGTAAATATCTTAATCGAAGTCGTTAGAAGATACCATATACAACTGGCACCCTGACAACTGTGGCAATGTGTTTATGCTTTGAGCTCTGTTACCTTTCTAAGCTTAACTCATCTTGGAAACAGCTGCACAGAAAAAAAAGGCAGATACCCTATTTCAGACTTTTTCAGTTCTGTGAGCAGTGTTGAATGAAACTAATTTGCTGTTCTGGTTTCTTACTGCTGATTTAATAAACTCTTACAATAATCACTGTTGTGATTGTTGGCAAAATAAGTCTGAATTAACTAGTACGAGGAATAATCAAGATCTGTTCACATTAAGTTCTGTCTTCACTATTTTAAAAAGACTATTCTCTTAAGGCTTTAGCTTGAAAATCCCAATCTTTGCCATTGAAAACAGCAGCTGAATCAACAGTGGTAGCCTTGCCAAAGACAATGAATCTTTTAACTCCCTTCCAATTTACTCATATATCTTTATGATTCTCTGGCTAAAGAGTCATAGTTTCCACAGATTTCACAATTCCACAGATTTTTTTCAGCATCATAAAGAATGCTTCCAGGAATCCATGGTGTAGTTTAGAGTGTTGTTGCCTTATTCAAGGATATCTAAGCAATTTGCAAAGTTTCGTCAAAATTGCTGTATTTTGGGTGTTTTCTGTGATGGGAACATTGCTGAAAAAGACTGACAGATTAAAGATTAAAGCTACTAGTCTTTGAATTAGATGCCACAGATGTTGCTTGTGGTCACTAGGCAAAAGTATTTCAGAAATAAAATAATTGGGGGGGAAGATACAATGACAGATAGTCATTGACAAAATGGGAGGAGAAAGCTCTAGCTGTTTGGGTATATCTATGGAATGCCTAGATTTAAGAGATAATAGGCTGTAAGCAGAGATTTTATTTGACAAAGTATGAATGAGCTTTTCACAGCAGAAATTCTGGTGACTTACCTATCTTGATTAATTAACCTTTTGTTGAGTCTGGTTTGTGCAGTTCTTCCTTTTTTGTTCCTTTCTTGTAGTAATTAAAAGCAAATCTGAATTTCTTACTCTGAGACTCTCCTTTTAGTGAAATATTTCTTGTCCTTTGCCCTGTTCCATAGCAAGGCATATGTGCGTTTAAATATTGCTGTTCAACGGTATTTCTTGTAATCCTCTGCTTGCTTACTGGACCAACTAACTTTATTTGATAAATCTTTTAAATACGTCGTTACTGCTGGAAGAGTAAAGTGCAAGTAAAAAATGTTTTGTTTCCCTGTTTTACTCTTTATTTCACAAATGCATACCCCCATACCTTCCCCACTGTAGGTGTTGTTTCCTTAGACTTTTTTGCAAGTCTTTGAGAACCTTGGGATATGACTCTTCTTGATAAGAGTTAAACTACAGTTCAGGCTTACTCAAAAGAAGGTTACCACGTGCTGAATATATTGTACTTTGCCACATCAAAAGCAGACTGAGAAGTAAAATGTGCAAGAATGGGCTAGAGACCAGAGCAGAATAAGAGCAACCACATTTAGCTAGTTGAGTTCACTGTTGCTGCCTTCTGCAAACCACCAGGCATGCTCAATGTAATCTAAATGTATGTGCTTACTGTAGAGTTAACTTGAGGGTTTCACTCAAACATTGCTCCTAATTATCCTGCTATCTTTATTGAAATCTCTCCCTTAGGTTCACTAGTGGTTTAAAATTGAACTGCCAATCAACTCTAAGCAGTACTTTCATTCATTGATAACCCATGCTGTGGCCCATACAGTCTTAACGAAGTGAATACTAATAGCACCATTGCTTCTTAGACTTTTTCCTGTTTCCCAGAAGGATGGAAAAGCTTTTCACAATCCACAGGGCGAAAAGGGAACGAGAGCTTCGTTATTATACTGCAAAAAGCTGTAGACCATTGACAGTGAAGTCTTACATGTGCTGCTGTCTCTAGTGCCTGCAAGGAACTCAAAATGTCTTGGCAATGTAAACTCAAATATGTCAAGTTTCACATGCATGATAGCATGTTAATATCTGATGAATTCAGCATTATGGATGCAACCTTAAGTTGGGGCAGTCCTAGATAATAATCCTAAAGGGCTGAAACATTTTAATTTCTCACCTTGTAAGCCTTACAAGATAGGGAATAATTCTGATGTGAAAGCCACGAATAGAGAACTGAGTGAGGATAGGAAGGGGAACTGCCTGGAGACCAAGTTTTAGTCCAGCCAAGCTGCCTCAGATCTTTCTGGGGTCAGTGAAAAGAAGTGCTCTGGGCTCAGAGCATGGGTAGGCGTTAACAACCCTAAACCCAGGCAGTCTCAAACGCCCTGCCCCTGCATCCAGCCTCCCTCCCCGTGGCCTGGGCCAGTCGCCGGACACGACTGCCCCGGCCCCCAGCGGGGCCGCAGCCGCCCGGGAGCGGCGATGAGCGAACTCGCTCCCGCTGTGCTTCCCGAGCACCGCCCGCCCAAAACCGTGCTCTGAGCGCGCAGCCCCCGGCAGCGCCCTCACGGCGTAGGGGGCAGGGTCCCTGAGGGGAACCCGCCGGGGCTGGAACGGCAGGCGGCGCGCGCCGGGCCGGGCCCGCCCCCCCGCTTGCACCACCGGCATCACGTCATCCCCCGGGCCCAGGGCGCAGGCGCAGCATTGCGGTTCCCCTACCCGGGCCGCCCCCCCCCCCCCCCCCCCCCCCCGCGGGAACAGCTGGGGGCTGTACCCACAATGCCGTGCGGCGCTGCCCGCTCCGCTCCATCATGGAGGCGGCGGGCGCAGCTGGCGCAGCCCCGCCGCCCGGCGCCGCCCGGGCCCGCACCCGCTGAGCCCCGCGCACCCCTCGGGCTCCAGCATGAGCGGCGGCAGCGGGGGCGGCTCCTCGGCACCCGGCCGCTTCGCCGACTATTTCGTGATCTGCGGGCTGGACACCGAGACCGGGCTGGAGCCGGACGAGCTCTCCGGTGAGTGGCCGCGGGCTCGGGGGGCGGCGGCCGCCGTTAGCGGCCGGGCCGGGAGGCGGCAGCTCCGGAGGTGGGGTCCGGCCTCGCCCCCACCCCGCGCCGCGGACCCCGGGCGGCCCCGGGGCGCTGCGGGGGGAGCCGCCGCCGCCCCCGCCGCGGGCAGCGCTTCTGCCCGCGTAGCTGCGCGGGCGCTGGGCGTGCAGAAGCGCCGGGCTGCGCGCAACCGTGCGTTTGTAGGAGTGCTCTGAACTTCTCCAAAAACCCGAGGGAGTGCCGCTTTTAAACGGCCTGCTCGAGGTGGAGGTTGTGTGGCGGTGGTGATGGCATTACATTAGGTCATCTCTGGCTTCACAGCGATCTGCTGCGCTCTTTTCGGAGCTTGGTTGCATTTATCAACTTTCGGTCAGGCTCTTGGACACTTGAAACACGCAGGTAGTCTTCATGAATCAGATTTTGGAGAGAAAGTGAAGACTTTTTGCCTATTTTGTATTAAGTTTTGTTGCAGCATAGGATAACGATTCTCTTCCTGCCGTATCAAATCGCATTAGCGAGAAATTGTTAGGTGAGAGTGTCTGCACCAAATATGCATCTAAACCATATCAGTCTGTCCCACAACACTGTATCAAACCTGCGTTTTTAAGGTTAAAAATCTGGTCTTTGTTTTAGCAACACCTTGTTTCAGGTTTAGGTTCACTGTACTGGCTTCAGTTAAATTAGATTGTTGCTCAGTGTCTTTAACTGTTCAGAAAGATACAGAAATGTGATGGTGAACACCAGACCGAACATCAGTACTTATTTTGTGTATTTGGGTGCAGAACTTGACCAATGATATGTTTTTTCCTTTTTTTTTTTCCCCAATTAGCTTTTTTTTGTAAGAGGTTATGAGAGTTTTTTTACATCATTGTATTTAACATCCCCCTCCCCAATAAACACTTGTTTTTTGCAGAGTGAAATTTCTGTTATTAGATCCAACTTCTTACATTGAACTCTTCTGAACTTTGGCTATGATGGAAACTTTCCTTCTTTTCTTCCCTTTTAATGACTTCAAACAAAATTTCTTATCTGTCCCTCGTGCTGAGCAGTACCTTACCCTAAAAGAATTCATGTTTGTCTAATGTTAAAATAACTGTAGACTACAATTTGAGACTTGAAGAGTGAATACAGCATAATGGTCTGCTCTATAATGGCCTTTTAAATTACAGCATCAACTTACTTTAAGAAATCTAGAAGAACAAAATACAATACAATTTCATTGAAGGTATGTGAGGCCCCACAGATTTCTCTTGATTAAATCACAAGTAAACAAAATTTCTGGGTTGGAAACAGATTCTGATGATAATTTTGTCATTCATTTACGATCTATTTATTTGTATAATGTGGTGCAAGGCACGATCAGTAATATTCCCTGATCTTGATAGGAACATGAATAAGTGGCCTCACATAATTAAATTTAAAATCAGCAGTGTATTACTTTGAGCTAGCTGTCCAGTAGTAAACTGGAAGACATCAGTGCCTTTTCTAAAATATTCTGTCAGAGTGCACAGGTCTGAAAGCTGGAGCATGATGTTTTTTCTGTATTTGCTTTCCCGGTCAAGGACTACATCTGTAGTATATAAAGCTGTAGCATGCAATGTATCCTGGACTCTGATATTCCACCGTGATACCGTAATGGTGTTGCTTGTGATGAGATGTGGGTTTTGGGGGAAAATAGGTTTTAGTATTTATGGGGGAGACGGGGTTTTGTGTGACTTGAGGAAAGGGTTTAAAAAAAGAGGGGAGGAAACAAGGGGGAGGAGGGTAAATCTATGATAACGTCACAGCGTATGAGCTAGCTGGAATTCCGGTGCATTTTCTTGAGTTTGTTGTGTTATTAATAATGCATGATCACGTGACTGATAATGCTTTCAAATTGTGTCTCAGGTTATAGCCTCTTCCAGTGTCCGCTGATAAAAATGGAAAGGGCCTCTGTTGATTTCAGTGGGTTTTGGATCAAGCTTTGAAACACTTTGTGCTTCCTGGAAGGCTTTCTTGTTTGAATGAAAGGGTTATTGTTCGCTGTTGTGTGGTTGTTTTTTTTTTTTCTTCTTCTCATTTGTGTTCCGAACAACAGATTCTGAATCCTTGTACTGTTGAAACAATTCGTTTCATAAGCGTCCATTGTTGGGAGGGAGGCGCTGGCACTTCAGCTGGTGGGTGCCGGGTGGGGAGCGGGATGCTTCCCCCGCACGGGGAAGCCGGGCACAGCGTCTCTCCAGGGCTTTCCTGCGTCAGGGCTGCCGGAGCCCAGCCTGGCATGATGTCATCCCTACCCCACCGCCGCAGGGAGCCGGCAGTCGCTGCCGGGGCCTCTGAGGATGCTGCCGGCAGACTTTGTTCTCACCAAGCTAATGAAACTCTGTGTTTCAGGTATTCAGCCTTAATATTGAAGATGCAGCATTTTCTGCAGACTTATAAAAGAAGCATAATATCATGAATTGACGCTCAGTCTAGTTACTTAGCTTGAAGAGACAGCTCTAGTAGCGTTTTTCCTTTGTACGTTGGAAGCTTACTAAACAGCACAGCTGTAACACTTTTTCCTGAAAAAGTTACCTGGCTGATGGAAAATGTACAGTGTATGTATACATGTTTGTTTGCTTTTAATATAAAGACTGTATTTAAGACTTATTGGTTAGCATGGATTAAAGGTAGCATGTTCTCTATTGTTAGGGCTTCTTTATCCCCCATATTCAAGTCATCTGCTTATCCGAGCATCCTTTCTTATTTTGATAATTGTGTTCCCACTGGCTGACTTGTTAAAGCCGATAGAAAAAATGTACTAGGTGGTAGTGAAACAAAACAAACAAACAAAGAAACAAAACCCCCAAAACTGACTTAAACTTAAGTTTAATCCACTGTCAGTTGCTGAGCTGGACAAGAGAGGAGCTGACAGGCGTTTCCACGTTTCCAGATGGTATTGATATGCCAGAAGTGATGACAGAAATCTGTTAAGTATGCTGCAAAGGTCTGGTACAGGTACGTTTCCAACATACAGGAAATCACAGAATGGTTGAGGCTGGAAGGGACCTCTGGAGGTTGTTGAGTCCAGGCCTCTGCTGAGGCAGGGCCACCTAGGACCAGTTACTCAGGACTGTGTCCAGATGATTTCTGAATATCCCCAAGGATGGAGACTCCTCAGCCTCTCTAGGCAACCTGTGCCAGTATTTGGTCACCCTCACAGTGAAGAATTGTGTCCTGATGTTCAGATGGAGCTTCATGTGTTTCGTTCAGTTTGTGCCCATTGCCTCTG